TCATGTGTTGGTGTGTGTAGAACTTCCCCTGATATTTGACCTTTTTAGACGGATTTAGCACCAAAAAAACCCTCTTTTGGGGCCATTTGGGTAGATTTGCCATATCTCTGGCCCACCTTGCTGGATTTTGACATGTGACATCTCTTTCTGACCGTCAGAGCCAATGGAATCGAGGGGAAATCATACAGTCCTTATTTGGTAATGTGTGTGTGAGAGACTTCCGCATAGCCAAGACCGGAAGCAGCAGCCACTATGATGGCTACCATTAGCAGCTAATTTTTGCTCTGCGATATTTACATAAAAATGGAATTATGGATTATAAATTAAATCATTTTTTTATACAGAGACGTTAAAAACCTATGGATTAACCGATTCAGCCGCGTTGTTTCTTTCTCGTTTTAATGCCATTGAACACGTCTTTTGATCAGATTGACAGCTACGGTGAGACATCTCCCCTCGAAGCTACGTAAAGGTACGTGTTGTGATGTCTGTGTTTGCTTCCCCTGTCCGAGTTCAGATCACTCAGTGATGATACTATATACCTAAATAATCTGTGGAACCTCAGCTTTAATCGGATATCTTGTAAGTGCAGCTACGATAAGTAATAAGGGTACTTTTATCTTGAGTTCTGTGCCAAAGTGCGTTAGCATTTTTCGCTCAGGGGTCATTTAGATGCTTCTTATGAGACTTGTGTTTTGTTTTGGTATAAAATGGTTTGTATCGTCAGTTAGCTGAGATTATTTCCATTAATCTGGTATAACACATTAATAGGTTCTTAAATATTACGATCCCCTGAGACACTGTCGTGAAAAAAAAAGTAAAGTACCCGCCGGGACTTTGGGGTTTAACAGGTTAAAAAAACCGCAATATATACCGCAGGGGGGGGGGGAAACCGCGATGTCAGTTTTTTTCAATACCGTGCAGCCCTAGTGAGGCTTGCTCTTTTTTTGCTCACAATGTTCCCTGCTGCTGAGAACAGACGTTCAGAAGGTGTGGATGTTGCAGGGGCAGCCAGATAAGATCTCGCCACAACAGCCAGGGAGGGGAACTTTGTTTCATTTTCTTTCCACCATTGGAGTGGGTTTTTGTCCTTTGGAATGGCTTTCCCCCCAAAGTACAGAAGCACCTCATTCCTGACAGCATCTTCCCTCTGGTCATGGGCTGGGTCGTCATCTTCCATCTCCTCCTCCTCATCTGACCCAAGCAATGTGTCCAGGACAGACTTTGGCTTCTGTCCTCTTGAGTGATCTAGCTGGCCACTGGGGGAGTCAGGCTCTTCCCTCACTCGTACTCGTCTGGCATCAAGTGCAAGGGTCTGAAGTTTGATTTTCACCTTCAGGATGTCATCTGTGGACAGGAACTTGAGTTTTCGGAATCTCGAATCAAGGGCCGCGGCAAAGATGCACACATTCTTCCCGTCCTCGTCATAAGTAGTCTCAACCTTCCATCTGAAAGATAATGGATTTAATGTGCACACTTTCAATTAAAGAAATTCAAGGTGCTTCAAGATAAAGATAACAGTAGAATCCATAGCTCTACATGATAGAATCATAATGGGAAAACATTGATGCAAATTGGGAAAGTTGAATTCAAATATTCAGTTAGTTCACTATAAGAGATTTAAAGAGCTGCATATTTAAACTAACCTTGAAGCAATCTCTGCTGCGGCTGCAGTTTGGAAGGTGGCAATTGGAGCAGACTCAAAGGCTTTCTGCGTGGACTTCTGTAGGCCTTTCACCAGCGGAGGCAGGACAGAGACCGTGACATATGCCTCTCCACTCAGGAAGACGGTGGCTTGCTCGAAGGGCTCAAGTGCTTGATGTAGGTCCCCCAGGATGCTCCATTGGTCAGCTCTCATATCCAGGTAGTGGATGCCTTGGTGACCTCTGGGTCTGAGAGGGTTGCGGTTACAGGCCACCGCTGCTCAAGGAGGCATTTGATCATGTAAAAAGAGCTATTCCATCTGATGGGTACATCCTGTGACAACTTGTGTTGCGGTGTGCCCATTTGCTCTTGTTTGAGTTTCAGCTTCAGGGTGGCGACCTCGCTGCTGTGGAAGTATGTGACGAGGCTCCTTGCTGCCCCAAGTGCCTTGTTGATTCGGGGCTCTTTCAGTGCATGGTTGACAATCAACTGGGTGGTATGGCCAGCACATCGAAGTGAGGCAACACCATGCTTCTCCTCAAGTATTCTAAGGGCTTTCACAACGTTCGCTGCATTATCATGGACAATTGCCTGGACATCATCATGGAGAGAAAAGTCAAACTTCTCAGCGACCTCCTCAATCCAGAGAGTGATGTTGTCACCAGTGTGTCTGTCCTCAAGGGGCTTTGTGCAAAGAACAAATGAGACCATCTCCCAGTTTTCATTAATGTAGTGGCAAGTCACTCCAAGGTATGCCTCCGTGGCAATACTTGTCCAGGCATCGGTGGTGAGCGTTATCTTTGAGGACCTCTTCTTTAAAGGTCCCATGTCATGCTTTTCTGGTTAGTACCCGTCCCCTTGTGTGTTATGAAGGTTTGTATGCATGTAAACGGTGTGCAGAGTCAAAACCCTCAAAGTACACCCTGTAGCGAGTAAAATTCTATAACAGAAAATACCTCCCCAAAACGCCTCGTTGGAGATACGTCATTGTCCATTTGATTCTTCCGGGTACGCATGATGTCAACCGTACCCGGAACGAAATGGACCAATCCGTGGAGCCATTACGTTAAGTCCGCGGAGCCGTTACGTTAAGCCCCCGCTGATTGGTCCAAATTGACCAATCCACGGACTTCCTCACACACACACTCGGTGCAAGCAGCTCTGCTGATTTCTCCTCCCTGGCTGCAGGCTGATAACAGACAGTTGGGATCGCGGCGAAATTCTCTCTGCAGACCCATTCTCTCTGCAGACCCATTCTCTCTGCAGACCCATTCTCACAGCGTTTATCAACCTTTTTCTTACTCAATATCAAGCCACACTTATTGTTTTTACTTCGGCTGTGACTTTGTGTGTGCTCAGGATGAGTTTGGCTGTGTTTCACTGTGTATCGCTAAACAAGGAAACAACACCTTCACGGAGCTCAGCGCGATTCACAACATCCCGACCAATCAGAGCACACTGTGCTCACAGGGAGGGTGGGGGCTGGAGCTATTGGAGCTACAACGAGCCGTTAAAGGCAGAGAGTGAAATTCAGTGAATACACGTAGTTTACAGAGATGCTGTTTGAGAAACCAATGTGAGTTTGGAAAATTGCACAATATAAATCTGTTCTAGTAGACCTCAACAATGGAATTATGATCAGTGGAAATGGCCATGACATGGGACTAGGGCCGCACGATATTGAAAAAAACTGACATCGCGAGAAAAAAACCCCCCCCCGCGGTATGTATTGCGGGTTTTTTAACCTGTTAAGCCCCAAAGTGTACTCACGACACTGTGTCTCAGTGGATCTTAATATTTAAGAACCTATTAATGTGTTATACCAGATTAACGGAAATAATCTCAGCTAACAGACGATACAAACCATTTTTACCAAAACAAAACACACGTCTCATAAGAAGCATCTAAAAGACCCCTGAGTGAAAAATGCTAACGCACTTTGGCACAGAACTCAAGATAAAAGTACCCTTATTACTTATCGTAGCTGCACATACAAGATATCCGATTAAAACTGAGGTTCCACAGATTATTTAGGTATATAGTATCATCACTGAGTGATCCGGACTCGGACAGGGGAAGCAAACACAGACATCACAACACGTACCTTTACGGAGCTTCTAGGGGAGATGTCTCACCGTAGCTGTCAATCTGATCAAAAGACGTGTTCAATGGCATTAAAACGAGAAAAAACGCAGCTGAATCGGTTAATCCATAGGCTTTTAACGTCTCTGTATAAAAAAAATCATTTCATTTATAATCCATAATTCCATTTTTATGTAAAAATCGCAGAGCAAAAGTTAGCTGCTAATGGTAGCCACCAGAGTGGCTGCTGCTTCCGGTCTTGGCAATGCGGCAGTCCAGCGCAGTCTAACACACACACATTACCAAATAAGGAGTGAGAGTGACGCGTAGCCAAAACCGGAAGCTGCATACACTCTGGTGGCTACCATTAGCAGCTAACTTTTGTGCTCCGATTTTTACATAAAAATTGAATTATGGATTATAAACAATTGCTTCAAAGCCACAGATACATTATCAACCTATGGATCAACCGATTCAGCCGCGTCTTTTCTCGTTTTAATGCCATTGAACACGTCTTTTGATCAGATTGACAGCTACGGTGAGACGATCTCCCGTAAAAGCTCCGTAAAGGTACGTGTTGTGATCTCGGTGTTTTCTTCCCCTGTTGTGAGATCGGATCGCTTAGATACTATACTTAAATAATCTGTGGAGTCTCAGCTTTAATCGGATATATTGTATGTGAAGTTTCGATAAGTAATAAGGGTATCTTTATTTTGAATTCTGTGCTAAAGTGCGTCAGCATTTTTTTTTTTTTAAATGAGTAAAACCACACGTTCTTGCGGTGTGAATATCGCGCATGCGCATATCGTGGTTATCGCCATGACACGGTATATCGTTCAGCCCAACATGGGACCTTTAAGTTTCCCTTCAGATCATCAAGAACACGTTGGTATGCTTTCTCCAGCTGCTTGGTAAACCACCACCTGGAGGGACATTTGAAGTCTGGGCAGGCATATTCAATCATATCTATGAAGGCTTCACCTTCAACGAGAGACAAAGGCCTCATGTCTTTGACATGAGGCCTTTGTAAGATAAAACAAATATATTATTATTATTATTATTATTATTATTAATAACAACACAGCACCTTTCATAGAGCCATGTTGCTTACAGTGTAAGAAGCTTAATTATTACACAATCCAAACAAGGACACAAATAAAAATGCCAAGTGAAGAAACACCTAAAAACTAGCTAATAAATCAGGACACAATAAATGGGATCAGGACAGCCATTCCCTTCTAAAAGATGCTCAAAGGAAGCAAATAATGACTTACTCTCAAGATTCTTTTGCTGGATTCGGCTGCCTTCTGTGGAGTGCATTGCGCCTCTTTCCCAAGATAGGACGGCAAGGTTCTTTGCTTTGTCCTAGAAAACACAACAGCAATGAACAATGGAACAACAGCTATGACAGTGGGGCATATTAAATCTACTCTTAAACTCATTGCAGTGCTATGGTATAATTAGCTTACTTGAAGGCTAACGTGGTTACTTTTTAAACAATGTTAAGTCCAACAATACATTTCATGTTTATCTAAAAGCTTGTAGAGTACTATATCTACACAGTGAAAATGTTTGGTAGTGCAACTCATATGAGCCCTATCACACTTGGATGTGCTGGTGCTCATTTTAATGTTTTCAATGCTCATACAAACATGAATTCATTCATGACAACTGCGCACCAGCTTACGTGCAGCCCTGGCCTGGACATTGCTTGGCTCCGTTAGTTGACATACATTGATACTATAAGCTGACTAACGTTAGTCTAATGTTATGTTTGACTCGTAAACGACCACAACATGAGTTAGCTCTCTGTGCAGTTTGTTCGTTCCGGGTTAGTAGCGGCTATATAGCGGTGTTCTGCAGACGTAAACTAGCTACCATTCCAGCCAACATTAAATGCTGACAAACGTTAACTAAGACACAGCTGGCGCCGCTAGCAAGGTAGCTAACATTAACTACTAACCAACCAAGCACGAACCAACCAAGCACGAACAAACCGCACGGAGAGCTATAAGATAGTTAGCACTACCGAAGTGCACAGAACTTAAGCTGCACAACACACTACACAAACGTGGAATTAATTTAGCCAAAGTTAGTACTTACTTATCATTGTTCCCTCCACGAGAGACAAGGGGGTGCCTCCGCTTTAAATGCTCCAACATCGCTGTTGTGCTAGTGTGGTATGCCAACTCCATTTGGCAAAGACTGCAAATAACAATGCCTTTGCGTTTTGGACTAAATTTAAAGTATTCCCATGCTTTTGAAGACCTAGGGCGAGATGTTTTTGTTTGGGGGCTTTTTGCAGGGCTTCGTGCACAATCCTGTGAGGAGGAGGTGGTAGCCGTTTCAGTCTCCATAGTGTTTAAAGTGCGATTGCGAACTGCTTGTTGTTTTGGGGGACCCACGTGTGTGTGGCGATGCGTCGACGAGGAAATCTGTCGTCGACGAGATTTTGAAGTCGACGACGTCGCTACAGCACTAATATCCATCAGCCTAACTGGTCAGGCAAGTCCTGTTTATGGTCAGTAATAATGGTTTGAAAGTCTTTAGATCTGTACCACACTACACACTATTGGTCATATGTCACTTTCATGAATACCAGTATAATTTATAACTTATTAATATCCACATTTTACATATGCTAGATGGAAAATTAGAAGTTAACAATTAAAATCTAAACATGGCAGTTCTATTTTCACTTATCTGGTGTTCAAATTCTTATTTGCAATGTCAGGTATGGCCCGGAGTGTCTGGAGCAGTACAAAGAGAACCTCCACAAATTCTTTAGCCAGATTAAAGCGCTCGTTGGCCGTGACTGTCTCATGCTGTGGACTCTGGCCATGCCGCTCGCCAAGAAGATCAAGGGTGGATTCTTGGTGCCTGAAGTGAGTATCTCTCCGCTGCAGGTTTCCATTCAAAACCAATCACTACACCAGCTGATTTCACTTATCAGCACATCCATCAGGGAGGCAGGGAAATGAGCAGCCTCATATTAGTATTGTGGAATTAGACTAGCTGCAGAGATGAAGCAGAAACCCTTCCCACCCGTCTGTCACATGTTCACATTGGCCTAAACCTTTGATCTTAATCTGAGAGACCACAGTACATTTTCACAGCTGTGAGTTCTGAGGTGAATAGCACACTGGCCTTGACAGAATTCATATTTGTATGCAACTGAAAAACAGATGTTAACCTTTTTATAAAAACCTTCTTATGCTGACTACAAAACAAAATACACAATCTTTGTTCCTCCTAATGATAAGAAAAGCAATGAATTCCAACATAATTGAGTGCAAGCTTTTACTACATTTCTATGATGTGTGCAAAAGAAAATACAAATGAATGTTCCCATACAGTACTTTAATGTGAATATTTGCAGTTCGTCCAAGAGAAACAGCTGTTGCTGGTAATTTTTCCATCAGGTGTCTTTTCACCTGTCACCACAGATGAAGAAGGAACATCAAGATGACACGATTCAAAGTAATTAAAACAATTAATGTTAGAAGGTTAGACTTCTCTTTGCTGCGCACACAGCTGATATTTCTGTTTACTAAGTGGAAGCCTGACTGGATGTTTGCCACAACCAGGGCATCCCTCCCCCTGCTGCTGAAAAAGGGAAAAATGATTGGGAACAGAAACTAAGTACTGAAATCTCTGCTGAAATATGGGAGGGTATTTTTGACATTATTCCCCATAGTTCTATAAATGCCAGAAATGCCTTAGTTCATTTCAAAGTAGTTCGCAGGCTCCATTATTCAAAGTCGAGACATTGTGTTTTATAACCCAAAACCTCCCCATTATGTGACAAGAGTCTAGAACACTTGGAGTACCCATCACTCCTGGTCCTGCTCCAAGCTAGATCCCCTTCAAACTCTTATATTTGGCTATATATCCAAGGCCTTAGATACATCTATTGCTCCAGACCCTTTACTTGCTATCTTTGGATCAGTGGTAGTTAATTGTTCATTACTAAATATGAGGGGCATGCCATGTACCTCTGTAAACTGTTGGCCTTATCCTACAGCAGCAGAAGTCAGTGGAAGAAGAAGAATACATTCTGGCTCTTTTTTGTGGAAGATAAAAATACACCTGTATGAATACCCGTGGATTGAAGCACACCCCCACTTTAAAATAAGGTCTCTATTAGGGCTGAACGATATACCGTGTCATGGCGATAACCGCGGTATGCGCATGCGCGGTATTCACACCGCAGGGACGTACGGTTTTATTCTTTTTTTTTTTTAAATGCTAACGCACTTTAGCACAGAATTCAAAATAAAGATACCCTTATTACTTATCGAAACTGCACATACAATATATCCGATTAAAGCTGAGACTCCACAGATTATTTAAGTATAGTATCTAAGCGATCCGATCTCGCAACAGGGGAAGCAAACACAGACATCACAACACGTACCTTTTACGGAGCTTTTACGGGAGATCGTCTCACCGTAGCTGTCAATCTGATCAAAAGACGTGTTCAATGGCATTAAAACGAGAAAGAAAAAACGCGGCTGAATCGGTTGATCCATAGGTTGATAATGTATCTGTGGCTTTGAAGCAATTGTTTATAATCCATAATTCCATTTTTATGTAAAAATCGGATCACAAAGGTTAGCTGCTAATGGTAGCCACCTTGGTGGTATGCAGCTTCCGGTTTTGGCTATGCGTCGTCACTCTCACTCCTTATTTGTTCATGTGTTGGTGTGTGTAGAACTTCCCCTGATATTTGACCTTTTTAGACAGATTTAGCACCAAAAAAACCCTCTTTTGGGGCCATTTGGGTGGATTTTTCATATCTCTGGCCCACCTTGCTGGATTTTGACATGTGACATCTCTTTCTGACCGTCAGAGCCAATGGAATCGAGGGGAAATCACACAGTCCTTATTTGGTAATGTGTGTGTGAGAGACTTCCGCATAGCCAAGACCGGAAGCAGCAGCCACTCTGGTGGCTACCATTAGCAGCTAACTTTTGCTCTGCGATATTTACATAAAAATGGAATTATGGATTATAAATTAAATCATTTTTTTATACAGAGACGTTAAAAACCTATGGATTAACCGATTCAGCCGCGTTTTTTCTTTCTCGTTTTAATGCCATTGAACACGTCTTTTGATCAGATTGACAGCTACGGTGAGACATCTCCCCTCGAAGCTACGTAAAGGTACGTGTTGTGATGTCTGTGTTTGCTTCCCCTGTCCGAGTTCAGATCACTCAGTGATGATACTATATACCTAAATAATCTGTGGAACCTCAGCTTTAATCGGATATCTTGTAAGTGCAGCTACGATAAGTAATAATAAGGGTACTTTTATCTTGAGTTCTGTGCCAAAGTGCGTTAGCATTTTTCGCTCAGGGGTCATTTAGATGCTTCTTATGAGACTTGTGTTTTGTTTTGGTATAAAATGGTTTGTATCGTCAGTTAGCTGAGATTATTTCCATTAATCTGGTATAACACATTAATAGGTTCTTAAATATTACGATCCCTTGAGACTAGTGCTGCGTACCGGTACGCCGAACCGGTACTGGACTTGTAAAAAGTTTCGGTTCAAGTCCGGTTAAAACCGGAACGTCGGGAACCGGTACTTGGACTCGCAAAAAAACTAGCACTTACGTATATTCTGGTGTCTGTGGTTATTTAAACATTCCCTGATAAACGTTATTCAGCGTCAATAAATGAGTGCTAATCCCAGTGTGCTCAGTGTACAACATCACATGTCATTTCACCTTCGATTCACGGTTTGAAAACGTAGCATTTCGCCACATGCTAATGCTAACCGGAAGTGAATAATTTTCAGAATAAAAGTATTAAGTTAATAGTGTCAACTTCTGGTTTTTTTCAGAATAAAACTGATTTAAATTAAATAGTGTATTTAATTCAAATGTACGCCATATCAGCAGTGATTTTAATTTCTAACAGTATGTATGTACATCACTATGTATGTAGTAATATGTACTGTATAATGTACACATGTAGAGTTGTAGAAAATACATGGTGTACAGACAGTACAGTACACTCTGACTGTACAGTCACTACAGTGTAGCCTATACTGTATAGTAGGTGTGTAACAGTGTAATGCGTATAGTCTACTCTACACTCTACCTTTCAGCAAAGCTTTAGGGATTTAGGCTCAGTCAGCTCAGGGACTGTTTGGTTACTTTAGTTTGGTAAATGAAATGAATGTTTGAACTTTGTAGTAGTTCACTGTAGTTGCTGTCATAAGTCATTTGTAGACTAAGTGGCAAAAATGTTTTTTTACATTTGTACTTTGTAGAGAAATATAGACACAAGTTGGAAGGGAGCGCAATAAACCTGACGAGTTTGAATTTGAGTTGATTATGAGTTAATTTTCAATTGATAATTAGCTCACAATAAGTTCACTTTAGTTACTCACACAACTTGACACAAGCCATGGGTTCAGGTCCGGACTTATAAGTCCGGACCTGAACCTGAACCTGAACCTCTGGACTTGAGTCCGGACCTGAACCTGAATGTGAGTCCAGGTACGCAGCACTACTTGAGACACTGTCGTGAAAAAAAAAAGTAAAGTACCCAACGGGACTTTGGGGTTTAACAGGTTAAAAAAACCGCAATATATATCGCAGGGGGGGGAAAAACCGCGATGTCAGTTTTTGTCAATACCGTGCAGCCCTAGTCTCTATTTATGTCACTGCTTGTTGAGACTAAAGTGACTAGATTTACTCAAAAGACATGAGACCAATTCATGAACCTGTGAACCAAATCTTCCTACAATCATTTTGTCTCTTAAAGGTGGGGTAGGTAAGTTTGAGAAACCGGCTCGAGATACACTTTTTGTTATATTCCATGGAATGCTCTTAACATCCCGATAGCAATGAATATCTGAAGTGCTTTGACAACAAATCCATAAACAAATGTCATCTGTGGAAGCTGTAGTACTGTAAAAAGCACGACCAATCATTTTAGCCGGCCCGGCTAAAGTAACTGGATGGCCTACCTGCCTGCCATCTGTGCACAAACTTATCTCGTGCCCTCATTGGTCATGTGCGCGTTCGTGTGTGTTGGAGGAGGGGCTCTGTGAGGAAGTGGCAGATTTTTTCCGGTTGTGTATTTTCAAATTCTAGCGCACTCGAGCTGCTTTCTCCAAAATTACCTACCCCACCTTTAAATGTCATATGCAGTGACAGTAAGTGATCATATTGACTAAATGAGCAGAATTACTACCAAACACGGTGTGCAGAACAGAAAGTCACCTGTTGCTAAAATGATTTCCCACAGGTGAGTCACTTGGCTCCGTCACTGTGTTATGACCTCATCGAGGCCAACTTCTACTGCAGTCAGCTGGCGGATGCGTACGGCCTGGACGTCCTCGACCTGCACTTCCACTTCCGCTTCAGCCTGCAGCACCGCATGCCGGACGGCGTTCACTGGGACGCCCTGGCCCATCGGCGCATCAGCAGCCTGCTGCTGGGGCACGCTGCTGACGCCTGGGGCGTACACCTGCACGCCCCCCCCCTCTCATCCAGGACAAGGTCAGTGCAAACACAGCGGCTGGACAGTTATACTGAGAGCGGACATGTTATAAGCCTTTGATTTCAGATGGAACACGGGTCAGTCCCATGGATGTATAATAAGAACTGGATACAGCGTCGCAGGCGGGGTCTCGTTCTTTCCTATGAGAGCTGCTCATTGGCGCATGAGGACAAAATGGCCCAACTTTTGAGAGAGCGAAACGTCACAGATTACCCGTCATGCCTGGCTGTCTGAGCAGAAGAACCCGTATGTGCGCTCACAGAGCATGCGCCCCTTAAGCCCCGCCCCTGGAGCTCCCACTCTCGGCTCACTAGAATGAATGGAGACAGAAAATAAATCTAGATTCGGCTTTTAGTGCATTTTACTTTAAGGACCTAATGATTATAATAAGGGCTATAAAATAATTCATACTGGGTGTAAGGGAAACTTCTGTGTAGCAATAGGCGCATTCACACCGCAGTACTTTTCCCACAAAGGTTCATGAGAACTTAGTTCATGAGAACTCTTTTGTCGCGTTCACACCAAAAAGAGCCGGTACTAAAATTAGTTCATGAGAATCTTTTTACCCCCACGAAAGTCCCTGCTAGAGAGCAGAGAGCTGCTAGAGAGCAGGGACTTTCGTGCGGCTCTCTTGTGAGAAAAGAGCTATATTTCTGATTGGCTGGGCGGATTGCAAACCACGCCCCGTAAAACTCCCAAAAAGTTTTGTGAAGCCGCCATTTTATTATCCTCGCATTAGCATTATTATCATTAGCCCAGTGCAGAAACGCAGAGAGACTAACTTATGGCAACCCAAAATAAAACATGGGAGCGGTGGAGATGAGGAGGTGTCGGCGTTCTGGCGATTTACTCGGAAGGCTTCAGTAGAAGCTGCTGGGAGTCCCAGCAGCTTCTACTGAAGCCAGTCCCCAACTCCGGGGACTTCCGGCCGGGGACTTTGGGCGGTAGTATACGCCGTGAAGTGGTTTGCGGCCTGCCAGTAAACCCAAAGCAGAAGAAGTGACGTCAGCGGCTTCATTTGCCTAATCCACCCCCAGGGACCTATTCCGGTGTGAACGCGATCTGTACAGTACTTAGTTCATGAGAACTAAAGAGTTCTCATGAACCTTTGTGGGAAAAGTACTGCGGTGTGAATGTGCCTAATGCAGTGGGAGTCACCGACTCATGAAGGAGACACGGGAAGAGCAGGAGCTTTGATGTCAAACACTGATGGTTTATTTGGAGCTTCGGCCGGAGAATTCACATCACAAGTCCAAGAGCCAGAGGTTCTGACTTCACGGTAGAGTTGCCACGTCAATTCTGAAGAACTCTACCCCAGACCCATGTATTTAGCTAGTTCAGAGAGCATCATCAACATGCTGCATAACAAGATAAAATCATAACACCTCTATCAGCTGACGCCAACAGGCAGGAACAGGGAGACAGAACACTGAGAGCACAGCAGCCAAGGTTACGAGGTGCGTGTGCTCAGTCAGGACAGTTTGAACTGATAAACTGGGTCAAAGTTCTGGGCCTTGGAAAATATTTCCCCAACACTGGGTGGTTTATTTAGTTTTTTTTAAATTATCCGCTGATTTACAGACGTCTCTTTCCCAATGTTAGTCAATGGGGAAAAGTATTTCTGGGCCGGGTGACGTCACGGACTGATACGGAAATTGTAGTACCGCCGTTTGAACTCAACGAATATTTTCATCAGAGTCCGGCGCACTTCCTGGGGGGCTTGGTCATTCCGCTGAGGGCTTTACCTCTGTTACTGTATGACCTCTTTAATGACTCTGTTTATGCTCCTGTATAACTGATCAATACAACAGTGGTCAACAACAGGGAGACCTTTCCTGTAACTGATCATTTATAAATAAGTTCATGTCACACAATACAGCATGATTTGATGTACATTTAAATGACTCTGGATTTCAGTGGGAGCTTTTCCTGTCTATGGACCTGAATACTGTATTAGATGCTTTTACACCAACAACAAAACTCAACACTTTTATTTCGGAAAATGGTTAAAGATGAGTTGAAGATTATAAATACCCTTTTGTTGTGTTGTGTTACCTGACTGACAAAATGAGTTCTTGCACTGATAAGGATGCCCTCTATTCTAGGAACAGCAGCCCACGCAACATGAAAGAAAAAGAAAATGCAAGCTGCTGAAAAAAACAAACATTTAACTTGCATGATGAAAAAACAAGAAAGAAATGTTTAATGCATGAGATGAGCATCAGCACATCAACACTAAACACAGCATTCTTTGGTCAATGTATGGGCAAAAGGAGCAAGCCTTTGTTAATGTGCATTAGTGAATATCTTAACTCTATAAAGGTGTTAGATAACTCCTACACAGCCCTAATCAAATAACTTTTCTAGTCATATATCTTTGTAAACATCCACAACATCCTTTCTGAAGGTTGTACTGCAGTAAAGCACAGAAGCCAGTTGTGCTTTAATACTGTTTGACTTGAACCGTTTTCTGAATGCTTAGTTCTTCAGGGTTACAGAGAAGACTTTGGACAACACCTCAGACCTGATTGGCCCAGTCCAAGAGCTCTGATTGACTCAGGTCAGTAAAGTCTAAGTTTCTGTATCGTCAGCCATGCCAGTTCATTGGCTCCAATTGGAATAAGTGACAGTACCGTAGTCCGACAGTAGTTACTGTTGGGACCAGTTCTCTGTACCCTATACATATTCCTGCATACATGTTATTCCGTCTTTACTTCAGGACCACTCCAGAGATATGGCTCCCTCCGATACCAACAGAGTCACAGCTCAGACCCATTTCAGCATCTTCCAACTAACTCAGGTATAACAACCCTCTCTTGTTATTATTGTGTAACATGGTGCGTGTGTTATTCTTTAATATGTTTGAATATGCAGGAAGAAAGAATAATAGCAGTTTTATTGCCTGCATTGCAAAAGACTAATTGCATTGTTTTGTAAAAAGACAATAGATTCTGAAAAGGATAAGCAAGGCAGATGGTCTTCAGTCATCCGTTAGAAAAGATAACTTGCAGTTATGTTTGAAATGGTTTTGAATTATTTATTGTTTTTGGAAGAAAAGAAGAAGAGTTGTAAACCTTGCATTTTTTTTTTCTCCGTATGAGCTCTCAGGACCATAATATGTCAAGTCCTTGTATGCCTTAATTTGTGCTTGTTTCTCTTAGTGTTTTCATCTTAATTGTGAATTTGTTTTGTACGTCTCTAAGGTGGAGCAGAGCACATCAGAGCCCTGCAGCATCATGCACAGACGGCAGGTCACCACTTCCAAGGTGATTGATTGATGCACACACTACACTATTCCCACATGTTCTTAATGATTATAAGGTGGTGAACATACTTGCAGCAACAAGCTTTAGGATTTTAAAAGATACAGCAGCTTTAGAGAGGAAGAAGTGAGATATACCATTTGCTTTGCCCCATATCAATACAAAGCAGACTGAGAAACACTTTTTAGACATTGATAGCTATCTTTTTTGTCTGTACTGCCGTGCATTACATCTCTAGTCAAATTCAAATACTTCTTTAGCTGCACCTTTTTTTAGGCAATGCAGATGTATTTGTATATACACATTTCATACCCAAAGTGACTTACAGGTAATACAGCAAGAAGCACAAGAAACAATAAAACATTATAAGAAAGCGTGCAAAAGCATATAAAGCAAAAACATTCAGGGCAAACATGTAAATGCTCTGCAAAGGCTAAAGTCCCCAAATTCCCTCCAGATGAAGCTTCCTCTAAAACGTTCAACTCTATATTAATCAAAAGGTAAAACATGAACGTTACTTTTGTACTGTGAAAGAATCAAATCAAGTCCACATTTCACAGTGTTTACTGAACTGTATGGGCTTCCTAAACTTTAATCAAATGGAGTGGTGAGATTCACAGTATTAGATGTTGAGGCCCAACATGTTTACAATAAATACAATTGTATTTTATAAAAAAGAGAGAGAGAGAGAGAGAGAGAGAGAGAGAGAGAGAGAGAGAGAGAGAGAGATTTATTTTATTTATTTATTTATTTATTTATTTATTTATTTATTTATTTATTTATTTATTTATTTATTTATTTATTTATTTATTTATTTATTTATTTATTTATTTATTTATTTATTTATTTATTTATTTATTTATTTATTTATTTATTTATTTATTTATTTATTTATTTATTTATTTATTTATTTATTTATTTATTTATTTATTTATTTATTTATTTATTTATTTATTTATTTATTTATTTATTTATTTATTTATTTATTTGCATATGAACTCAGGGCCGGCCCGTCGCACTGGTGTTGATGTTCGCCTAGGGTGCCAGATCTGGGGGGCGCTGCGCTGGCAGTTCTGGGAGGGAAAAAAACATTTTTGACCATTGGTGCTCATCCTAATTTTCGGCCTTGATGTAACAACATTCATAATTAAGTAAATGTAACACCCTTTTCACCCCGGTTACACATTTCATTTGCCCTGTACGATGGGCGCTGTAAGTGATGAAAATGGGGGATGTTGGCTTATCTGGCGCCCGCAGCTCACAGCCAAAATGCGAGTGAGAGGGAGGGTGCACCGGTACCGGCGCTGTTATTAGAATCTGGTGCTAGCTGCGGATATAAGAAGAAGATGTTTCTACAATAATGTGGAGGGAGAGTCCTCTCCAGTCAGACCGAGAGACTGATAACTACAGCTCAGTGAGGTAAAGGACTCTTGAGTGTTTAGATAGTTCCCTTTAGTCTAAGTCCAAACGGTTTGGTCACAATTTATGTAAACTAGGGCCGGGACTTTAACGCGTTAATTAAGATTAATTAATTACACAAAAATGAACGCGTTAAAAAAATTAACGCATTTTAATCGCACTTATTTTTGCACCGCGGAACGTTTCTCACTGGATGAGTTTCAGGCGTACCGATTATACTGGAGCACCAACTAACGTTCATGACTTCAGACAACAACAAACCACAGTGAACAACAGTGGGAAATGTTGTTTTAAAAAACGGACGGATGGAAGCGTCGATAAGAGCACGGTTGTGTGCAAATTATGCAAAAAGGAATTTGCATATCACCGCAGCACATCAAGCCTCAAGTATCACCTCAATGCAAAACATATAGCAGCTAGCGTGGACGTTAGCCTCTTTTATCGCGTTCACACCAAAAAGAGCCGGTACTAAAATTAGTTCATGAGAACCTTTTTAGCCCCCACGAAAGTCCCTGCTAGAGAGCAGAGAGCTGCTAGAGAGCAGGGACTTTCGTACGGCTCTCTTGTGAGAAAAGAGCTATATTTCTGATTGGCTGGGCGGATTGCAAACCACGCCCCGTAAAACTCCCAAAAAGTTTTGTGAAGCCGCCATTTTATTATCCTCGCATTAGCATTATTAGCATTAGCCCAGCGCAGAAACGCAGAGAGACTAACTTATGGCAACACAAAATAAAACATGGGAGCGGTGGAGATGAGGAGGTGTCGGCGTTCTGGCGATTTACTCGGAAGGCTGCTGGGACTCCCAGCAGCTTCTACTGAAGCCAGTCCCCAACTCCGGGGACTTCCGGCCGGGGACTTTGGGCGGCAGTTTACGCCGTGAAGTGGTTTGCGGCCTGCCAGTAAACCCAAAGCAGAAGAAGAAGAAGTGACGTCAGCGGCTTCATTTGCCTAATCCACCCCCAGGTTCAAAGAGTTCTCATGAACTAAGTTCTCATGAACCTTTATGGGAAAAGTACTGCGGTGTGAATGCGCTTAATGGTATACTAAAATCCATGTGAAAAAAATTGCTTCTCACTGTTCTCAGGTCAAATATTTATATGTGATTAAAAATGCGATTAATTTCGATTAATTAATTACAAAGCCTCTAATTAATTAGATTAATTTTTTTAATCGAGTCCCGGCCCTAATGTAAACACATATTTTCAAGGCACTCCTTTATCATTATTGGGATAAACAGGTTTGAAATCATTCCAATGTATACTATAGGACAGTAACCAAACATATCCTTTTAAAACTGGACTTTCGACCCAAACCCAGCTGTTGACTTGTGGATGCAAGCAGCTAATCGCAGACTCAACCAGAGAGAAAGAAGTAGGCCTACATCATCAGCTACCATGTCTGACAGAGAGGAAGACAGTGAGGAGAACAGTCAGGAGGGTAGTGATGACAGCTTGTAGGATTACTGGTCGTGCTAATGTTGTCTTGTGTTCACCTCTGCATGTGTGTTCTGTGTTCACCTCTGCATGTGTGTTCAGTGCCGTGTGTCTGGCAAATAAAGTCAAGACCCCCTCAAAAGTTACGGTTTATTTCATTTTAAGGATGAGCACCAAGCAACATCTCCAGGTGCTCCTTTGAGAACCAGGGCAAAAAAGTTATGTGCACCCCTGTTCATAAAGCTTGCAAAAAAGCAACACTATAATAGTATAGGTGCAAAGTATCTATGTTCCAGAAGTCCGCTGTACAGAGAACTGTAGTTTCCCCACAGCAGACAGACATATCACTTTTCAAATGTGATTGTAAATATGAAATCAAACTCTTACCATTTACAGGGTTCGTACGGGTGCTGGAAATCCTTGAAAATGCTTGAAATGTAATGTGGTGTTTTCAAGGTTTGAAAAGTGCTTGAATTTGACTTTGGAAAAGGTGTAAGAACCCTGCACTTAATGTAGCCCTTTTTAATTTCAGCAATTCAACTGGATTTTATCAACTCATTTAAAGATAGTTTTTACTCCGTTTTAGCAACAATATATTATTTTATTTATTTATTCATTGTACTTTTAAATCCATGTATTGACTTATTTAAATATTATTTATTCAACTCTTTAAATTTCAATGTATTGACTTATTGAAATAGCATTACATTATACTTCCTTTTGCAAACTATCAGAGCAATATAAAGTAAGTCAAACGTTTATAAGGAGGCAGAACTCTCTCCCTTCTCCCCTCTATCTCACCTCTCCACCCTGCCCCCACTGGACCGGGACTTTAACACCCCCCCACACAGACACAACAAATCAGTCACTTTTACACATTTTGCACTCCCATTTGCACTATGTACATCATCTTTTTATATATATCCTGCTTACTTGAAGTAAACGATTGTTCTGTGGGTCTTTTTGTAAATTATTGAGTGTTCTTGCATTTTAATATGTTTATTGTAACCTCGGGACTGTGGGAAACAGTATTTCCATCTTTCTGTGCGTACAAACATATTTTGAGATTGACAATAAAGTTGGATCGGTTCGCAACCGAGTGTGAAGCGGCTGGGATGAGGATCAGCACCTCCAAATCTGAGGCCATGGTTCTCAGCAGGAAACCGATGGACTGTCCACTCCAAGTAGGGAATGAGTCCTTACCCCAAGTGAAGGAGTTCAAGTATCTCGGGGTCTTGTTCTCGAGTGAGGGAACAATGGAGCGTGAGATGGGCCGGAGAATCGGAGCAGCGGGAGCGGTACTGCAGTCGCTTTACCGCACCGTTGTGACAAAAAGGGAGCTGAGCCAGAAGGCAAAGCTCTCTGTCTACCGGGCCATTTTCGTTCCTACCCTCACCTATGGTCATGAAGGATGGGTCATGACCGAAAGAACGAGATCGCGGATACAAGCGGCCGAGATGGGTTTTCTCCGCAGGGTGGCTGGTGTCTCCCTTAGGGATAAGGTGAGAAGTTCAGTCATCCGGGAGGGACTCGGAGTTGAGCCGCTCCTCCTTCGCGTCGAAAGGAGCCAGTTGAGGTGGTTCGGGCACCTAGTTAGGATGCCACCTGGGTGCCTCCCTAGGGGGGTGTTCCAGGCACGTCCAGCTGGGAAGAGACCAAGGGGTAGACCTAGGACCAGGTGGAGGGATTATATCTCTTTGCTGGCCTGGGAGCGCCTTGGGATCCCCCAGTCAGAGCTGGTTGATGTGGCCAGGGAAAATAAAGTTTGGGGCTCTCTGCTGGAACTGCTACCCCCGCGACCCGACCACGGATAAGCGGGAGAAGATGGATGGATGGATGGACAATAAAGTTGACTTTGACTTTGATAAATCCTTATTTTACACAAATGGTGTCCCAGTGAACATAGTTTGTGACCGACAATAATAAAATCAATATGGAATTAGCCATCAGCGTCTCTGGTCACAGTGCTCTGCGAATGAGCGCACTGATTGATACATAATATCCTTACAGTGACTTCTAAAGACATGGGGCACACAGGCAAACATTTCATCAGAACAACTTCATCTTTTGAAGCGCACCGCAGCTCTGCGGATCTCTCACAAAGTTGAAACATCTTACCTGTCCTGATTCTTTAGAGGATTTCAGTCTGCA